GCATATATTTATCCTACCTGTCCAAAGAGTCTACGTTACAACCCTGAAAGACCTTTTAATTCACTAGTCTCGATTTTGATTGGTTTAGAGTAGAAGTTAGACAATGGGCAAGCCTATGATTGAACTTGTTATCGACCAATTTGAGTGCATCCATATCTTTATCTGTATAAGAAAGTGAGTGAGGCACACATATACATTCCCATACTTGAGAGGACGTCATATTAAAGTTTAGCGATCAAGCATGTAGTCGTGTTATGTTCGTATATGTCATTTGAATGCTCATTGTTGAAGTTGAACGTGTTGAGACTTATCTTGTTATCGACTGATGTCCAGACTCGCTTTTGTTTTGTGTCTTCTCTTTTCTTTTCTTCTCTCTTCTTTTCATTTCTCTTTGTTCGGGACGAACAAAGGTCTTAGTGTGGGGGCATTGTTTGTCCCATTTTTGTGTCTTTATTTCATGTTCATTTTCTTTTTGTTTTCCCCCATTTGTAGGTTTTTTGTTGTTTATTTGGTCCATTTTGTTCGTTTTGTGTTTTTCTCCTTCGTTTATACTTTTTGTGTCTTTTTGCCGTGTTTTTCTTCGTGTTTTTCCGTGTTTGTATTTTCAGGAGGTAGGTTGTGCCGGTCGAGGTTGGGACTGCTTGAGCCGAGGCCGTGATATCGAGAATACCCGTTGCCAGGCCCAGAAGACTCGAGGAAGGACTGAGAAAACGGATAGAAACCGCGTCCAGAAAATTTTGCGACTTGCGAGTCATCTCACGACTCTCGAAAATGTCGCGACCCATAAGGAAAACTGGGGCTAAAGGTGCAGTTTCGAGCAAGAGTCGCGACTCGCGAGTTATGTCGCGACCAGCCCCAGAAGTTTAACATTTTGAAGACGCGCGACTCGCGACCGAGAAGAAGACGATCTCGCGACTCGCGACTTGACCGGCGCGAATTTTGAGGACGGGATTTTTAGAGTAGATTTCGATCCTAGGGATTATTATTCAACTTTCAGACTTTATTTTTACACTTTTTCTCTCTAGAAACTCATTCCTTTTCGTTCTTTTTCACTTTTGATTTGTCTTGGAGATTGAAAACTCCTTTTTCTCTGCTTTGGATTTGGATGCACTTGGAGTTGACATTGGATTCTTATCATTAATCGTAAGTTATTTTTCTCAATTGCTTTGTTGATGATGATGACTTGGGTTTATATGAATGTTGATGTTAAATTCGTTATGAGTAGCTAAATCCATTCGCTAGGGATAGAGGATGATTGATTAAATTCGATAATGATTGAATGCTTTTGATTATTCATGTCTATTCAAGTTGTGTGAATTATAGAATTAGTAGATTGATCATCTTTCTAACCTAGATAATCAACGTGTAGAACCGAGAGGAGAGACGTTGGTTGAATTAGGCTCGTTTAGAATAGATTTGTTCGGAAACGTATTATCTTTGTGTTGTTGGAATTGATAGTTGATCGTTTACATTCACTCTCTTGTTACGAAGAGTTATTGAGAGTGGACCTCTGAACGAGAAACGATTCAAGTCCTTTAACCGAGTAAAAAAGAAACAAAATTCTATAATCTATAATCTATACTAATATAAAAAGGTTGTTGGTAAAATACTAAAATAGAAAGTTTGACTTTTTAATTAAATGATTGACTTTTCTTTTAAAGAAATATTGTACAAATTACTTTAATTTTTTTTTTTATCAGCGAATAAAAGCTTTCAAAATAAAACTAAAATAAAATCCTACCATGTGGATTGATAAATAGTTTTTCTTTTCAAAAAATTGCATGCACCATTTGAACTTTGAATTTATGAATGATACATACAAAATTATCACATTAGAATATTTGATTGTTTTGACATGATATCAACAAAACCTTTATTCTAATTTTTAAAAGATGTGATGTTTGATAGTTAATATTTCATTTACGTACAAAAATATTGAATAAAATTTTGATTTGAACCCTTCAGTTCATTTCTTAACATTTAATGTCTACAGGTATGGTAGATAATAAAGGATTTTACAATAATGGATAACTTTTTTGAAATTCTTTGAAAAACTTACGGTTGAATAGTAATTTGAATTTCAAATTCATTCAAACATTTAAAGGAAAATATTATAAGCAGAATTTTTTGGATATATTCAATTTTATCTTAACTTACATTTAATCACATTCCTAACAAACATTAAATTTTCTTATATATTTTTAAATTAATTATATTAATAAATAATATTAATATACATTAAAAATTTATAATTATATAAAAAAATATTGCTTCTATAAGTGTTTTTAATACTAATGACATTATACGATAATATATTTTTCAACAAAATAATATTTGAGTATTATGATGAACTAAAATATGTAAAACTATTATTTTTTTCTATATTAAAAATAAATATATATATTAAAATATTATCTATATTAATATAAACGGGTTAACAAACTAATATAGTTTTAAAATAAAATTTAAAAAAAATTAATATAGTGTTAAAATAAAATTTTAAAAAAATATTTTAAAGTGCAAAACCCTTGTGCATAAGCGCAAATACTTAGGTGTGCCAGAGCCTTTTGTGAAATACAATCCCTTCAAAAGCGCGTGAGATAAGAAGGTAGAGTATTTTTTTTTAAATGGGACATGTGTCCCATTTCTATTGGGTAATAAATTTCAATATCATATTATATAAATTAAATTCTCATTCATATTTTGTATCAAAAAATAAAAATAAAAATACCAAAATTCATAATTTTTCATTCTCTACAAATAGAGACCACATTTGATATTTTTTGGAACACAATTAATTTATCATTTTTTACAATTAATTTATCTTATTGGAAGATTATGACGCAAATCTATAATTAGATGCATATGTTACATAGCAAGATGAACATGTTATAGAGTAAGATGAACATGTCATAGAATAAGATGAAAATGTTACATTTTCACAGATGAAATTTAGATGAACATGTTCTAAAATAAGATTAACATGATATATAATAAAATGAAGATGTTATAGAATAAGATGAACACGTTACATAATAAAATGAACATGTTATAGAATAAGATGAACATGTTACATAACAAAATGAACATGTTATAGAATAAGATGAACATGTTACATACACAATAAGGTGAACATGTTACATAATAAATGAACATGTTATAGAATAAGATGAACATGTTACATAATAAAATAAACATGTTATAGAATAAGATGAACATGTTACATACACAATAAGGTAAACATGTTATAAAATAAGATGAATATGTTACCAAAATGAGATGAACATGTTATAAAATAAGATGAATATGTATTGTTTCAATCTGCAATCTGTAACATGTTCATCTTATTTGAAAATATATTCATCTTGTTATTTAACATGTTCATTATATGTCAGTATAATAAAATAATTACGAAAAAACGAAAAATAAGTTGTGTTAAAAAACCTATCAAATGTGGTCTCTATTTATAGATAATGAAAAATTATGAATTTTGGTATTTTTATTTATTTTTTTAATATAAATAATTAATGATATTTTAATCTATATCTCTATATATATAAAGAGGTTGTTGGAAAAATATATTAATAGAAACTTTGACCAAATAAATATAATGTTTGACTTACTATTAATGGAAAGTTCAATAAAACACATGTGAATCTTTAGTAGAAAAATCTAAATCCTATCTTTTTGGTAACAAATTTAGAGATTTTTATGACAAAATTTGAATTCCATTTTTTTCGTATCATATTTTATTTTTTTACCAAAATTTAAATTATATCTTTTTTGGTAACAAATTTGGATATTTTTATGCAAAAAATATGTCAATTATTTATGAAAATAATTCTAAATACAAATTAATTTAAAAACCGTGCAAACTAGATACAAATTTAGAAAGCAAATAGTTGTATAATTCTTAATCAATTCTTCCAATCTTATTGAAAAAAATTTCTTTCAAAAAAATTGTGTAAATTGGATAAAGCCACGTGCAATTTTTATTTTAAAATAAAACTGATATTTGGACGGGATGTACATTCAAAATTGTGTCCACATTTTTTGGTAACAAAAGCGGTTCATCATTGATATTTAAAGTCACCTTATCCCATTATTTAGGAAAAATTGTGTGCAACTTTTCAAAATTTAAATGCATCGATTTTTTTTGGATTCTTATGTTTTTTCTTAACTATGTTTTACCGAGATTTTGGTAAGTTTATATCATTTTTTTTAGGAAATAGACAGTCGCATAAACACTAACAATTTATTTCACTTTTTTATTTGAATTATTTTCATATCAATTTGTTTGGTACAAAAATCGGTGCAATGTTAGGAAAATTCGGTTGCATTTTTAGGAAAAAATTATGATTTTTCTATTTGGTTTTAAAAAAAAATCGGATCAATTTGTTTGATAAAAAAATCGGTTTATTGGTAGGAAAATTGGTTTCATTTCCAGGAGTAACTAACGATTCTTTTCAATTTTCTTAATTGAAATTTAGAATAGATTTAAATAAATAATTGGTGAAAATCCCTAAAAAATTTTACTTTTTTTTTTCTACTTTAATTTTGTTCAATAAATAAGATACTTTAATTTTTTTAAAATTTGTTAACTAATAACTAATAATATGAAATTTTGGATAAATTCGAAACACCTATGTAGTACTTTATGTGCTAAATAATCAAATCAATAATGTTGTACATAAAGAAGTGTTTAATAACATATAAATTTCATTTTCATGAAAATTTTAATGGATGAGACAATTTAAATACAAAAATACATTTTTTAAAATAAATAGGTAATAAATACTCCCGTGCATCGCACGGGTACCGTACTAGTTTATGTAATATGTCTCATTTTTTAATTAAAAAAGGAAAAATTAGAATGTGCACTATACTCTCTAAATTTTCTAATTTTTTGGAGTGAGGGGGCGCGTGCAAATTTGTCACGGCACACCTACCGCGTGAATCACCTTTCCCAAATCTTTCCAAGAAAAAGAAAATTAATTGAAAACTCCAAACTTCCCAATCGCCTCCTCCTCCTCCTCCTCCGCCGCCGCGATTTGTCAATCTCCTGTCAGGGAATAATCGTTTGCCATATCCCTTCATTCGCGAGCGTGGAAAATGAGATCCATGCCTGGGGGTTTGACTGCCGCTGCTTCGGCGGCAAGTCTCCGTCCTTCGGTGGCGCCTGCAAACCTCCCTCTCGTCTCTGCATTGCTTGCCTGTGCTATCGCTCAGTTTCTCAAACCTTTCACTACCTGGTAGGTGCTCTCTCTCTCTCTCTCGTGTTATAATTTCGTTTTTAGTTTGTCTATTCAAATTTTCGGCATTAGTTGGCTAATTAGCTGGATTCGCGCAGTTGTGTGGACGAATACTTGGCGTATATATGTGGATCTATTCCTCAGTTTCAATTGATCATGAGTTTCTTAAATCAACCTGAAAGAGTTATTTGGTGAAATATTATGCTTTTTATTCCAAAAAAAGATAAGCAAATAAGTTAAATTAATGTTTTATTTAGTCTGCTTTCTTGCTATTTTGAAACTATTATGTGGTAACTAAGCATCCCTCTGAATCAATGAACAGTATTGACTTCTTGTTAAGCTAATTCTGTCCATCCTTATATGCCATATGATGATTCTAGCTATGAATTATTTTTATTTTCGGTGGAACTTAAAATAAAGTCACTAACCTTAAATATATGTATGGACATGCTTCTATGTAGGATTTATTTAATTATGATGTGTATGGACTTGTGAGTATTATATTTGCTTTCGGCTGCATGTGTGAGACTTTGTAGTAAGTTTCAATGACAGTTGTGGAACTTTTCTAGCATTTAGTTTGCTAGAACCCTATAATGGTATTATTGGTTGGGTGAAGTAAAAGTTGCAGATCAGTGTTAGCTATGTGCTAATAATGAAAGACCCATCACATGTATCTGAGGTATTGAATCAATTCATAGCTTTGACCTATTGAGGCTCAAACTTTGGGCTCTCTTAATCTGTAAAGAACATATTCCATCTGCTCCTGGAGTACACACGATTTTCCTTGGAGAGAGAGAGTGTATATAAACCATTTACATCACTGCTATCCCCTTATCTATGGTAGTATGGTGTATCACATGGAATATAAATATACGGTCACTACCTTCTTAAGACTCCGGTACACCGTACACTGTTTTCAGAATTGAGGAGGAAGTATGAATATTCTCCTCATAACATGTTTTCTAGTATATGAGATTGATGTGTGTTCAGTTAACCACTTGGTATTACATTATTTTTGTTAATTTTTCCAACCACTATTAGGCAGACATTTTGTTCCTTGCTATTTCCTGCTGGATCTTTCAATATCTCATTTTAGACGTACAGGTTGAAGGATAAAAAATGGGATTCTACAAGGATGCTTGGGTCAGGCGGAATGCCGTCATCACATTCTGCAACTGTTACAGCTCTTGCAACAGCTATTGGGTTGGAAGAGGGAGGAGGGGCCTCTTCATTCGCTATTGCAGTGGTCTTGGCATGTGTTGTATGTACTTTCTAAACCAGGTTTTCATTTGTCCATTCTTTTTAGGATTGCCTGACTTTACATTTGTTAATCTCTCATCGGGAATGGTAGCTTTTCTGGTTGTTATTCACCTTACAAAGTTGATTTTCTTGTGGCGGAACTTATTTTGTTAAAACTTTTGTGTCCAACTTCTATATGCGTTTGGTTTCAATTGATGGTTTGCTTTAAGTTTTGCTTGTAGTCTGTTGCTCTTACAACTTAAAAGAGTCAAGAGTAGTGCACCTATATATACTTCAGTCTTCAGTGAACACTAATGTCGGCTCTAATTGCTCATCTGGGTGCTGCTTGCACAAGAGTAATTAATGTTGGATCTATCTTCTTTTCACACTTTTCAGAGCTTTTTTCCTTGCTAATGAATTCGCACAGGTGATGTATGACGCGACCGGTATCAGACTTCATGCAGGTCGACAAGCTGAGGTGATATCTTCTTCCGATGATAAATATACTTTTCTATTGGTTTATTTTGAAGATTGTTTTTGTTTCAGTCATCTAGTTGCTCTGGATTGTTTTATGTGACATTCGAGAGATGTGGTGCTTTATGAGAACACCTCACGAATTTATTATTTTATTATTTTATGTCAGGCAAAATGTGTCACTTAATCTAGAAGTGCTCTCTTTTCAGTTTTGTGACATATATTCTGTGTTTTTGCACAATACTGTAACATTTGATTCTTTCCGCAGTTATTAAATCAAATTGTGTGTGGGTTGCCTCCCGAGCATCCTGTTGCTAATGTTAGACCACTTCGAGATTCACTCGGTCACACTCCGCTTCAGGTATGATCATAATCACATGCTTAGATCATGTGACTTATCCTTGTCAGTATGCAGTTATCTTTCTCTTTGGGGTTTACTTCCTACTGGCAAACAATGATTTACATCTGATCATTTTTAGCGTCATAAATCCATTTGAAAAGAGTCAAAAAGACGGATAGTAAATAGCTCCTCTTCCCACAGAAGCATCTAAACTTTCCTAGAAAAAGAAATCTGTAAGCTTGCTTAATGTTGCACTTGGATGCATGTATTTGAGTTGTAATTTTTATCGAGACTAATGAATTTTTATAATCATATGAAGGAGTTCGAGTCTTTTTCTTTTTCCTTGTCTTTCTGGTGAGGGATGAATTTTTATTTTTATTTTTTATTTTTTTGAGTCTTTATAATGGATTTGAGATCTTTTTCATGGAGTCCCCTCAAATCACTATTTTCGTAGTAACACATAAAAGTTGTGGCCGTTTCATGGAGTCCCCTCAAATCACTATTTTCGTAGTAACACATAAAAGTTGTGGCCATGGTTGAACCTTGAGTGGAACACAATATAAGAAATCGAGTTATATTGTTCTATATGGGGGCCCAAATCCACCAACAATAAGATGGTTCCTCCATTCTGATTCCAGGTTGCAGCCGGTGCTCTACTCGGATGTTTGGTAGCGTTTCTCTTGAGAAGCACCACGTGAAGATTTTGACCTTTGATGGATGTAGTTTGTTTGCGTATAGCTTGAAAAAAAAAAAAAAAGATGTGAAAAAGATAGATTATTGACGATGGAAGTATGATTTGTGTTCAGCTGCTGGTGATGACAAACTATTTTGTTCCCAGCAGGATATTCATTTGAAGTCCACTTTGTGAAACTTTGTATAATTGTCTGTAAGCTAAACAAACATTCTCTCCAGTGTGCTCTTGCCTACACGTCCAAGTCATCAAGCTTCTCTATTTCAATTACTGCGTGAGCTAGTTTTGCTTTTATAACAGGTGCAGAATTTCTAAATAGCTGGTTAGATTAGATCATCATAATTTTTGGGGTGGAGTTTTCATATCCCGCCTGCTCAAATTCTACTACATATTCTGAAAATACTTTGTTATTTTTTTATTTTTTTTCATGGCTTATGTTTGCAGAGACAATTCCTCATTTGGATCTCCGTGTCTTTTTCTCAGCGCTCGAACATGGGACTTTGAGTATTGGCACTAATATTAATCTAGGCCGTGATTGGATATGAGTCATAACCTATTTTAATCTATTTTGACCGATGTTATTTATATGAATCAAAATTCAATCTAACACAACTCTCCTACTTTGAATATTGGAACTAGTATTAATTTTTAGGCCGTGATTTGGTACGAGTCATAACTGATTTTAATCGGTTTTGACCGGTTTAAGTTATTTTATGCTAATTAAAATTCAATCCAACTAAACTCTCTTACTTATTATCAATATAATTAAGAGAAAATTACCTCATCCACCATAAGATCACTTTTATTTTGCACATATACTAACCTTATATTTTATTTGTAATTATACCAACATTCTAATTATTATTCGGAAAATACATTGTTAATTTTTTTTTTTTCATGGCTTATGTTCGCAGAGTCAATTCGTCATTTGGATCTCCGTCCCTTTTTCTCAGCGCTCGAATATGCGACTTTGAGTATTGGCACTAGTATTAATTTTTTAACCGTAATTGGATATGAGTCATAAGTGAGTTTAATCGGTTTTTGAATGATTGAGTTATTTTATACTAATCAAAATCCAATCCAATCCCAATTTCCTACTTTTTATTAATATAGTTAAATAATACAAATCAATCATCATCACACATTATATTAACTTTAATTTACTATTTATCCACTCACATATGTATGTTTGTATATGGAAAAAAATTCAATCCATACTCAAAATCTAATTCGACTTTAACTCAACTCTACTATCCGCAATATTATCAATATAATTAAATAATACCCCAACCAATCATTCTTACACATCACATCAACTTTAATTTATATTCATCTACTCACATAATTTTAACTATTCCTTCACATTATCCTTCTTACTTTTACAACAAATCNCTATTGAACATGTCCTCTTCTCCTTCGTCTCCTCTCCTTTTAGTCGAGATCTTTGAACCTCGGATTTATAGTCGAGCCTACTTGAAGAGACGGATAGGGGGGGAATGGCCTATCAATCATTGGTGGACCTTCCCTTGAACCGTTGGAAGTCTTCCCTGGTGGCCCCCGGTTCATATTCAGTCGTACCGGCATGGCCCCACTGATTTGTTTTCGATCAGAGCATCAAGCAGCGCAACGCTTGGCACATTGAAAGTGAGAAACTGAACTTCGAGAAGTTGGGCCTTCCACTGAAAGAAAAACTTAAGCAAAGGGAACCCTGCGCATAATGGGCATGCCTTATTGATGAATGATAGACGCAGGCGATTTTTGGAATATTTACATACAAACACGCCCTCACCGCCCATCAACATACTTTGTAATAGTGAAATGAACTCTCGATTGTAGAACCAAACATAATTTCTGCAACAATAAAAGTTCCCAATCATCGAGTTACAAAAGTTTACACTTACAAAGATAGATTTTTCATTTTGCGTCTCTCACCACCACATTTGCTTGCCGTGACATTATCCTAACTATGCCGGTAAGTTCTGGCCAAAACCGTGGCCTTACCGGGTTTACTTACTTTCCTAAATCAGAAATGGAAAGGGGGAAAAAAAAATAAATAAATAAAACTTACAGCTATAAAGAACACACATCAACAGTGGCAACCATACAGGGATAATAGAAATCCAACAACTTGGCTCACAAAAGAGTCTTGAAGATTATACCTTTCAGGTTCCCTTAACAATGAAAATCAGCACATAAACAATTCTTCTGTTAAAGTCACTCTCCTCTCTTCGTCCCTTTATATATGTGTACAAAATTAGGAAAGCAGTTAACCCCATAAGGTCAAGAACGAGCAGTAACAAGCTGGAAAAAAAATAAATATACAAAGAAAGTCTTTTACTTTGGTGCTAACATTGCTTAATTGACCATCATATGATCAAATCCACCCGCAGCTTGCATGGCAGCAACTCTAGGCCCTTGCACATTGTGAAGCAACTGTTGTAACCACCTTCTCGTAGTTGGATCTTCCTGAAAATACACCATTGAGATAAACCTTACCATGCCAGCACACTATTTATATGTAGGGATTTTTGTTAGTATTGTTAAATATCCGCACTTACACGGAGGCAGCTACTAAATGTTGCATCTCTGAGAATGTCAGGCAGACAGCTTCTCAAAGCATCGCAAGCTCTGTACAAACGAAGGTGATTTGTATATATTAAAAAAATGCAAACACAAAGAATCAAAAGCTGGATAATTACCAGAGTAGGAAATGTTGTTACAAAGAAAATTACATTTCACAATGACAAGTTGTGAGTTTCATATTGTATTTTAACAAAACATTTCAAAGTGAGAGTGTAATTTGTAATAAAGAGGCAAATTTTGTGGGAATGTTAATTCTGGAAGATAGATGGAATTTTAAGTTAGGCTAAAGATGGGGTAGGCCATAGGGTAATTTTGTAAAATATACCTAGGATTATCAGACAATCGAAGGTAGCATCTGATAATGTGCTTCAAAAGACGGGAAGAAGACTGCTCAGCAAGTGCAGCAACCATGTTCCCCAGCACTCTACCTACAGCAAAGAATCGCTCGGCTGTGGTGCATATATACTCTAAGCCCACATCATCAAGCAAAATTTTCTGCACAATGAATGTTGCTACCTGCCAAGGGAAGCCATATCCATGAAAAGGCCAAAATGGGAAAAAAGATGAACAGAAAATAAAATATCTTATAATAAAAGTTAACCACAAATTAACAGAGATGTAATCTCCGAAGACAAAATTTATGGGAGAGCACAATATAGTTCACTGTCTATTCAAAAATCACGACTCTTCTGGTAGAAAACTTAGTTGATACAAAATCATCGACATATTGAATCACTCTATTTTACCAAAAGCATATGTAAATTTTTCAATATTGAGGTACCATATTTCAGCTTACAATTGGAGATACTGAGAACAAAATTCAGTACTATACAAGAAGAAAAGAGTGATGCTGTGGGGCACACCCCAATGGGACCGAATTGTTGTATTTATGATTCACAATACCTAGACAAAATGCCAGAATTTGTACCAAAAATTATGGACTCAAGAATGTTGGACATGTTAAGTTCAGTGCCAAAAAGAGAATTTCAGAACCACAAATAAGCCTGAAGAAAATTCATATGCTTTTGTAATCATTCTAACGAGCCTACCAAAGATGATTTCATGTATATTGAAGCTAAAAGATGCCAACATTATAATCTTTGTAAGAATAACAAGTCAGAAAAACAAGCATTAATGCAAAAAATGGCTACATAAAAACTCAACTGTCTTGGACAATTCACTTCCCATCTCCATTGTGCGCAGGCATAAGGGAATGATTTCAGTAGAAAGAAGGAAACTGATAACTTCAGTGTCGTCCACCTGAATACCAAGAAAAGCAAAAACACACATAACATTTATGATAGAAGAGGATGCAGTGTGTTAGAATACCACTTGTGAGTTGTCCATATTGACTAAATAAGGAATATAAGCTTAGTTCAGAACAGGCCTAATTTAGGGCCTATGAGGACTCTCTGTTAACCGGGCCTGATTTGGGACGGGCTAACCAAGGACTCACAAATGAGGAGGAGTGTTAGAATGTCATGTGAGTTGTCCCACATTGACTAAATATGGAAAATAAGCTTAATTTCATAAGCCTAGTGACTCCTATCACCAATTGGTTTCGGAATGAAATCTCACGAAGGTGGCAACTGGGCTCGCCCTCTTAAGGTGCTCTTCCTCCAAAAAGGAAATACAAAACTGGGGTCTAACATTAGATAATTCTCATGCATGAAAATTCAAATCACCAAAAGCTAGGTGTTACTAAATATCAGACAAGGAAATTTAGAAACCACACATGGAGGACAATATCCAAATTAGACATCTATAATTGATCAAAAAAGAAAGTTACACAAACTAAACTTTAGCCCATGCCAATAGACATGGCCACCGGTTCCGAATTGCCACGCCGGTTGAAGGGACTCCCTCGAAGTGGAAGGCCAATCAAATTGACGGCTCCGGTACCGGAAGCGGTGGTTCCAGCCCAGGGAACCGGATTTTATGTTTGCTAAAAAAAGAAAAATAGTTGTAAACTGCCAGTTCCAATCAATCTCCGTCAATTTTGAAATTTAAATTCAAATTAAAATCGTTTGCTATGGGCCATAAGCGGAAATAATTATTTTATGCAGAACACCACAAAGATAACGGAGTCCAGGTATGACAATGCTTAAGTCCAATACATAATGCATACGAAGAGAAGGTGGTCTCCTGACACATTTATATGTACATGGAAATTGGAATATGTATGGCTACGTTCAGGAACGTGTTGGTGAGCAGACCAAGAACTGGAATTTCTCTTGGTCAAGCTCAAGAACCATCATGTTATAGTTTTTGCAGGATACAAAACACATTTTCGGTCTTCAATCTGTAGTGACTAAGAATTGGCTAGTTGTAATTATTTTTGGCTGATGCCTAAAGTTTCAGATAAAAGAGCATTCATTAGATATACAAGGCTTGTCACTGGTATGAAACTGGAATAAAATAGGGCAACAAGGAATACCTTGACTAAAGCACCTATAACGCCTAAACTTGTAAGCCTCAAATACTCGAAAGGCCTTGATTTGCTCGTTGTATTAAGAAAAGGATATAGGTAGAGAGGAATGTGGGCTGCAAGAAGGAAACAAATGAATAAGTCATACTTAGGTAAACAGCAGCAATCAGAGTCACTGATATTGACAACACATGATAAAACATGAACTTATTTAACATTTTGGATGAGCTGATATCTGAGATTTCATCTGTTAGAGTATAATAACTTTTTAAATGCATATGAATGCCAAAACAAGTCTGGAAAATAACTGATGGGCAGGCTGTGGCCAATAAGAACATTTCCAATGCATGAATCTATTTGAGAGGGTGTCTAGTGCCACATAAGAATCTAAACCTTTTGTGTGAAAAATAATCTCCAATGTAAAGAAAATAGACCTATGATGTGGTGTGAGAAAAATAGACAAGATCACTACATGGGCTAATCTGAGACTTTGCAGTAGACCAGACGAGGCAGCGTAAGAATCAACATTTTAATGAGGCTTCTCACATATTTGGTTAGCTAGACCCAACTTTTAAAATATCGAATTGGAGTGACCTTGGTCTATGTTTGCTTAAGTTTATCACGTCATTCAAAACCTGGGTCTATTACTATGACAACTAAGAAGAAAAGAACTTCGGGCATTGGGGATGCTCTAAGTTACTAATAAATCATTAAAACTGCGATGGAGAGGGAAAATGGGAAATAGAAGAGTTTCCAACAGGAACAGGAATGGGATATGTTTCTCTAGTTAAATTTTATTCTGCAAATAGATGCAGGAATGAAATACATGTCCATGCAATGAAGAAATTACCATTGAGGAACAACATTCTTGTGTCTGGATGTGAGGCCACACACTGCAATAAATTGAGTACCATGTTAGTCGTATAACCGGAGTTGGGTGCATCAGATTTCTTTATTTTTAAATTTACTAAAAAAAGGCCCGAAAGAAACAAATATGGTGAATGACATACTCTATCAAATGTTGTGGACAAAACGGTTTTATCATTAATTCAGATTCGGTTCACCTTTCACACACATCAAATGAATAAATATTAGGTTGTGAGGTGTAATAAACAACGCCAACATGAGGCTACATGAAGTGCTGAATTTCTTTATTCCCCCAAAATGATATGAAATGTGGGAAAACACACAAAATCTGCAAGATGACATAATGTTTCAATTATGGGCAATCTACACACAATTGGCTAAATTAACAATCTAACTACAGAAATAGTAAAGATTACATTTTTCACAACTGGCTAAATTAACAATCTAGCTACATAATAAAGATTGCATTCTTCTCTCATAAGTAGCACGCAAATACTGATTGCAGACATAAATCCAAGAAAATATCACAAATTTCAGGAGCCTGGTTTTCCTTCCAAGAAGCCATCCAGACACCAAATTAATGCTAAGCCACCTTCATGCTTTCTATATCTTTACATTCTGCTGCTGCTATGCATTTCTAATTTCCAGATATACTCAAGTCACAATTTTTCATAAATGATAATACACAAGGACAAATATTCCTACAGTTTATTACAGGAAGAAAAAAGTGAGAGAAGTCAACAATCACACAAAGCAGATAGAAATCACTATGGTGTGATAGGATATGCATTTATTGGAAAACTTTTATTTCACTAGAGAAGAAGTTTTGGGGAGTATGAATAATTTGGAAAGTGTGATTCCTGATAAGATGGAAATGTAATGATAAAAGCTGTTGTGATGTAAAATAATACAGTTAATAAAATAATAAATGGTAGTTAGAAATATGTACGTTTATGAACAGTAAATTGTATATAAAACTGTGCAGTTATGATTGATTTTTATTTTAAAAATTGTATTATTAAACAATGAGGTGGGAAAAGTGGGATAAGTGAGTAATATTTAAGAAAATTTTCTCTAGTAAGATGAAATGCTTTTTATTCTGTATCCAATTGCAGCCAGCGAACTTCAAAGGAAGATACAGAAGCAGAAAAGGACAACACCTGAAGCAGAGCGAGAGCATTGCAAACTCTGTTTGATTGTGCAGGAGTTAGGTTTGGTGGGGATAATACTGGGTAAATTGAGACTATTTCCTGCAATAGTTCAGAAAGAAACAAAATTCATATCACTTAGAACATAGATGTTACATCTGAATGCCTAAAGCAAACACACAGCTGAAATGTCTTACAAAATATTTTAGTAAAAACAGTTCAGACAAAAGTTTTAAACCTAAAAATTTCTTATTTTTTATTTTTTTTTTCTTGATTGGTAAGACAGCAATAATTACCCTGGAAAAGCGACTAAGTAGAAACGACTCTTTCATGTTAAATTTCATAAGCAAACCTGAAGAAGAGCAGCAATTGTACCAAAGGAATTCCACAGCAGTGGAGCCAAGTCTTGAAACAGCTCTCTCTTCTATTAAATACAGACAAGACAGTGCATAAAATAAAACATGCATGAAAAAATAATTCACAGAAACCAAGTTGAATCATAAGTTAACCTCTGAAGAGAAATAAAATCAAAGATGAGACATTAAAGCCAAAAGCAAACAATATTTATGTCACTTCAACCATAGATAATCCACAAGGGAAACCATTATATATATAGAAGCTTATATCTTGACTGGTTGTCATTAAGACAGAGATATTTTTGCAAAAGCCATTTTACACTCATTTAGAACGGAAGTAAACATTAATCAGCAAAAGCAGTGTCGTTCTACAGTAAGTTCTTACTTGTAGTTAAGTGCTAGGTGAAATTTGATGAGGTGCTAGTCGGCAAAATGTAACTGGTAATTACCACTAAAAAATCTCGAGAGCATAAACTATTTCAATCAGATTAAGAAAAANAAAAAAAAAAAAAAAAAAAAATAACATGACAGTAGGAATGAACCAGAAAACCTTGGATAGCTCCAGGAGCGCGTTTTCCCGGAGATCGGGGCTGCAGAGATCGAGAACCAGCTGCTCGGCCGATTGCATTCTCCGATCCTTATTGACAGCGGCAGCGGCCGCCGCCGCGGAGGAGCTGCTGCTACCCTCAAAAGGGGCAGCCTTCAAATTCAGCGACGGAGGGAGGTTTGCCATATTTCCCCTCTCACTATTTCCAATCTCGGTGGTTTTGCTTTTCTACTTTTTGAGTTTTTCGTCTGAATCAAGTTTATAAGGAGAGGGATAGAGAGTGAAGGAAGAAAAACGAATAATGTGGGTGCCTTATTATAGTGGCGTTGCGGTTTAACGCCTGTTCATTGATGCGGGCTCTGAAACGGAACTGCAGTCAAGGAGTTCTGAATTTTTTTTTTTTTTTTAAAGGAGGATTAATAGTGTTTTCACTTTCTCTCATCAGTGACTCGACTACTCGATGACTCGAACTCATGACTTATCGGTCATAGATAAAGCGTCCTACCATCAAGATAAGTTCGCGTTGTCCATGTTAGGAAGCCTTCTAACTGTGTAGGTCAATCAGTCAAACTATTTTTGAAAAAAAAAATTATAGTTATGTTATATATATATTTTTAAAAAAAGTTATGAC